CTTGTTTTTTCTTTGACCATATCTACCTAGGAGGCTTTGAAGAAGAGTGTCTCAGTCAAACTGCAGGCTTGGAAGTTCAGGGAAGGTTCTTGAAGTTGATGCCACATGACCTGAGTTTTGATAAAGCGAAAGTATAGATAGAGTATTTGTAAAAAGACAAAGCAGGGAAACAGTAGTGTGTGCCTCGGGAATAACATGTTGCTATGTGTGTATGGGGTGGGTACTCACCCTACAAGGACAGGAGATAGAACTACAGAAGCCACCCCTGGCCTGATGGGGATGGACCTTGGGCGTCAAGCCAGGGAATTTGAGCATCATGAATGCATACTTATGGAAAAGAAGGAAACACCTAGAAAAGCAAAAGAAGAAAATAACAATTACCTTTAGTTTAATTATCCAGAACTCATCACTATTAAGATTTTACTGGAATTTGTCCTTTTCTTCTATGCATATTCATACCTATTTGAGAGCATGCTATCTATATAAGTAAGTTTATATCCTACCTTCACACTTAACATATTTTTTTTTTTTGAGTTGGAGTCTCACTCTGTCACCCAGGCTGGAGTGAGACCTACTGGGCTCCAGCAATCCTTCCACCTCAGCCATCCAAGTAGCCGGAACTACAGGCCCACACTAGCATGCCCAGCTAAGTTTTTTTATTTATGGTAGAGATGAGATCTCACCAAGTTGCCCAGGCTGGTCTCGAACCCACGGGCTCAGGCAATCCACTCACCTTGGCCTCCCAAAGTGCTAGGATTCCAGGATGAGCTACCGAGCCAGCCCACACTTAACATTTTAACATAAGCATATTGAATGTTATTGAAACTTTGTAAATACTTTCATGGCAGCAAAGAATTCCATCATTGGATGCCATATCACATATTTAGCTATTTCCATACAGGCAGAAATGGGCGAGGGAGATTTCACCATTATAAATGATGCCACAATGTATATATTTGTATGAACTTAGGTTCTGTCAATGATTTCTCATGATTAGTATCAAGAAAGAATTTAGACTGGGCATGGTGGTTTACACCTTTAATCTCAGCACTTTGGGAGGTTGAGGTGGGAAGATTGCTTGAGCCCAGGAGTTTGAGATCAGCCTAGGCAACATAGAAAGACCCCATCTTCACAAAAAATGCAGAAAGTAGCCAGGCATGTTGCCATGCACCTGTAGTCCCAGTTAATCTAGAGGTTGAGATGGGAGGATCACCTGAGCCAGGGAGGTTGAGGCTGCAGTGAGCCAGGATCACACCACTGCACTCCAGCCTGGATGACAGAGTGAGACCCTATCAGAAAGAAGAAAGAGAGAAAGAGGGAGGGAGGGGAGGGAGGGGCGGGAGAAGAGGCAGGAGAGGGAGAGGAAGGAGGGAGGAAGGAAGGAGAAAGGGAGGGGAAATTTTTGGATCAAGCAGCATGAAAGTTTTAGACCCTTGTTACAATTGTTTAAGTTCTTTCTGCTAGTTTACATTATTACATTATTAGTGTAAAAAGTGCACATTGCTGCTTCTCTACCCTCAATGGGTGCCATTGAGGATTTGGGGTATGAGAATGACATGAGCATATTTGCATTTACAGTCACATCCTGGAGACTGAACTGAATGGACAGGTTGGAACTGTTATTGTTGTCCTTGCTGTTCCTCCTTTGCTTCCACATTCTCCCTTTTTCACGATCCCATTCTTTATCTTCTCTCTCTCCAGGAGAGTGTCTATATGTTCACTGAACACAAAGCACTGCACAAGCCTTTGTTACCAAGGAGCAGCACTGAAAGGCTTGTGCTGGCCCAGAGACCTTCTTCCTCTAGCTCTAGCCAAAAAGTCTCTAGACAGTAATTCTCCTTAGAGAAAATATTTCTTATATTTTCCAATTAAATTGCCAAGGGGTTTATTGCTAAAGTATTTTTCCCCCCATCCTGCGACTTTCCAACCCCCCCACACAATCATCCCTGTGCCTGGAATGTCCTCCTTCCTACCTCTTTTCAATCCAGAAAATTACCTTGGCTTTCATTCATCCTCCAAATAAATATCTGTGACACCTTTCTTCTGTACTGCCCAGTCGTAATCAGTCACCCAGGCTTCTTTGAGCCGATAGTTCGGTTACAGTATCTTCTACACCTTGTTATGTCTTCCTGTTGGTTAAGGGTCTTAGAGGAACATGATATTTTGTATTTCCAGGTCTTAAGACAGTGTCTGGCACTTAGTTGTTAGTCAGTGACTGTTGAATTAATGAGTGAGTAAGTGAATGAATTCCTGTTTTACTAAGGTGCATAGACATTTTGTTGAAAATACAGGAAGTTAAAAAGTATAAGACAATGTGGAGATGACATGAATTGCCAAAATCACTCTGAATTATTGATGCTCAAGGTAAAACAACCACGTGGTATACCAGATGTCCCAATCTTGGATTTTTGTGAACATTAATTGTTCTGTATGCCTAGACAGTGATGTGCATTCTGATCTCTTTCATTTGAACTTCAAATTTAATTTGCTTTGGAGTACCTCTGTGATAGAGGAAGTAAAGGGGATTAAATGATGCCAGAATTTCTCAAAGTGCATTCCAAAAAAATTAATACCATGGGTTGTTTATAGGTATCATACAAAAAAAGGGGTCTTGTGGTTCAGTAGGTTTGGGAAACAAAGTCAAACAGAATTTTTTTTAACCTCAGGGATTCTCAGTGGGCACTCTAGGAAGCAAAGAAAGATCCATTAGGCAATGGTAGAGAAGCAGAAGAGCAATCAAGTCTTGCCTCAGTAGCAGTCATCCTGGCTTCTTTGTGCCAGGGAAAATTCAGAGTACAAATTCAAAGGCAGAATGGCAAAAGGGATGCCAAGATCTTAGCCCCTTCCCCTCCATTTATCTCGTCAGTCTCACATCTGTGTAAGCTCCTGCCCCCCACCCAGCCACCCACCCAAGCTGATGAGATCAGCCTTCATTACTTCTCTTCTAGAGCCAGGAGGCAAGGTAATGTGTGGGAAGTGATAGCTGCAAGGTAATGTGTGGGAAGTGATAACAACTTTAGAGTTGAAGCCATTCAACAGGAAAATTTGTTAAAAGACCAAGACATTGTAAAGCCGAAACACTTGAGTCTATTAAGTCCCCTGCTTCTCAGAACATTTTGTTACCAGGGAATGTTTCAAGGAAGGAAAACATAGAACTATCACAGCACTGTCAGTTACCAAAGCCTGGTACAAAGAGCAACATTTTACAAGGCATCTGTCTCTGCCACTAGAGAAACTTCTAAAACGTTCTTGCTTTCTCTTCTCTTCTCTTCTACCCCTACATAACCCCCCCCACCCTCCTCACCCTGAAACACACACTGTTCATTTCTCTCCTCTTTCCTCCTACTCCTCCTCTTCCTTCTCTCTCTCATTCATAGCCCATGCTGTTTTCACAGACACTATTAGAATGACACAGTAAGCTAAGACCATCCAATAGTTATTCAATCTCTTTTGGTAAGGAGACTAATTAAGTGACTAGAGGCTTAGACATTCATTGTTTATTAGGTCCAAACTCCTTCAGAGAGCCTGGAGCATTCTCCCAAACAAACATTAGCTTTTCATGGCTTCTTGTTCCAAGTCTAAATGAGATGGAGAGCTTAAGAAGACAGTATCTTTTTACAGACCTGAAGAAAGGGGTACTACAGAAGGAGAATATGTCGCTGGATGTAGCGGAAAAGCTGTGTGTTGGTCACAGAAAGACTCATGCAGTGCCTGCATTTGTTGGCAGCTGATATCCATTAGTGATCATCAGTAGTTTAGACTGTAGCAATGTTGACACATTTGTGGTCAACTCAATGGTTTGTTGAACTGTCATCATTAGAAATACATCCATCAAGAGAATGTTTTTTAAACAAGTTAGCCTTCTAAACAAAAAAAATTAGAGACAAGCCCAAATATCCCTCTGCGAGTTGTAACACTGTTATGCTATACCAGTAGGCACTTTAAAAGACAAAAACCATCCATTAATAATCTATTAAATAAACAAAAACAGTAATGTTTCTAGTTTTCATTTTCGAGTTTTGGAATATTAAGAGGCTGTTAGTGATCAACCACAACTTATAAGAAAGTTACTTTTGCCTTGGTAGACACAGGAATGAAAGCTTTTTAAAAATCTGCCTTTTTTATTTTGCTCCTGTTTTCAATAAATAAAACCATGTTATAAAACAACCAAAACTGTGTTGTAAAAGTGAGTCTTGGGCCCAACAGCAAACACTATTCTTCTATTGATTTCGCAAGAAATTGGGGAACCACAATCCAAGCTTTAGGAACTCTGAAAAAAAGGACTTCTTCGAGGTTCTGAATCAGAAGTAACTGCCACTGTGGGAGGCCATCAGTTCTGGAGTGACTCTGAGCCTGAGAATCCTGTTTTCTGCCCCTATTTTTCTACTGCAGGCCCACAATAATCTGGTGTAGGTAAATAATCTTTTCCTTGGCTTAGATTGGGCACCTGGTGTCCTGAAAGAGGTCACTGATTTTCCCGAGGATGTCCAAGGAGGTTGGCTCACCAGTGGCTTACCACAGGCCAGATTTGAGGTTAATTAACCATCAATCATCGTCAGTGGGGCCAAGATGTTATTCAGACATTTAGAGAAGAGAGACTTGATCCGGCTACGGATAATCAACATTCCTTCCTATCCTAGCCCCAACCCAATGTGTCTTTAGCTGCACTGGGGCTGAAAAATATTTCAGAAATAGCTGGTTTGTCATTTATGTTACTCTACATTTAAAGAGGCTTCTTGATATGGGAACCTGTTTATTGGATGCATATTAATTTTCTGAATCAAAATAATTTTTCAATAAAACTGGAACCAGAAGATTGTGAAAAAGTTACATTTTTTTGACCTTTGGGAAAATGTTCTATTTAGAGTGAGTATGAAAAAGGTGTTTGATGGAAAATGAAGGGATACTGACGTTGGTCATCAGGGGACCAGACTTTCTGGGCAGAACCTGCCTGAGGAAGAGAGAGGTGCATGAACTGCTTGTACTGTTTCAATCTGCAGACCTCAGCGACCAACTCCTTGAAGTGGTGGGGCTAGAGGGAGCCATGGAGATGGGCCAGATCTACACCGGCCTGAAGAGTGCGGGCAAGCGGCTGGCCCAGTGCTCCTCCGTCACCATCAGGTATGCCTCTTTCTTACTCAACACCTTCTAAGTCTCCCCACGTCTCCAAACATTCTTACAGATAACACTAGGAATCCATTTTTTAATTTTAGGGCAGGGAGAGTAGGGCACAAAAGCTTGATAATGTTTGTAAAGAACATCTTGGTAGACCATTTCTCAAACATGCAACCATCCAAAACGTCAACTAAAGCCGGGCTCGGTGGCTCAGCCTGTAATCCCACGCCTTTGGGAGGCTGAGGTGAGTGGATTGCCTGAGCCCGCAGGTTCGAGACCCATCTGGACAACTTGGCGAGACCTCATCTCTACAATAAATCAAAAATTAGCCGGGCGTGGTAGCGCACACCTGTAGTTCCAGCTACTTGGAAGGCTGAGGCGGAAGGATTGCCAGAGCCCAGCAGGTCGAGGCTGCAGTGGTCGGGAGTGGCCGCTGCACTCCAGTCTGAGTGACAGAGTGAGACTCCAACAAAAAAAAAAAAAAAAGTCAACTAGAGGATACACCACAACCAGTTTGCTGTGCTCGTGAAATGACCTGTATAAGATTAAGAAGTCCAGAGAACCAAAAGTTCAACTCCTTGCCTTTTTCATCTTTACAAATTAAAATATTAGACATATACAAAGGGCACACTCTGATAAAAACTAGGTACTCTGCTCTGCTCTTTCTTAGATAGTGGGCTTGGAAATGCTATTTAGCCTCTGCGTGCTAAACCATCAACAGCAACAAAAAACCTGTCATAATTGGCTAAGAAGACAATAGCTCTATAGGGGATTAGTCATGCAGGTTAGCCACTAGGGATTCCTAAAGGAGATGGGATCTGATGGAGCAGATCCTTTTATTTCAGTTGTGTTAGTCAAGGCAACGTATCACATTTTGTCTCAGTTTCTTCCCCAACCTGATTATTTCAGAAGTCTTCTTCCTTCCTCTTTTTTTTTTTTTTTTTAATTTAGTTGCTATGGACTAAGTCTGTTAACATGCCTTAGGGCTCTCCTAGAGGGGACCACAGCATGCTGGGTTTCCTGAAAGTGTTTGACCACAGAACCTTTTTTTTCTCAGAACCTCTTAGGCAAATGTCATCAGAGCACATTTGGAGAAACTTCTTGGCATTATCCTGCGTGACTCAGAAAGGGTCCCACAGCTGGTTCCCTGATGCCTCTTAGCTGAAGGTCTATTCCACTAGCCCCCTTACTTCATTTCCTTTCTTTGTCCTGTCTGTCTTTTCTATTTCCCAAAGCTTTGCTCCCCTTTCTTTCTGAGCTGTTGTCATGATGGAAACCCTATCATTAATTTTCCAGATGAACCTCTCTAACCCTGACCATTCTCTAGGGCTCTGATACTGAATGGGCCCAGTCTATTAGCATATCTAAGCCATGAATGTTATGTAGACCACAGAAAACATAACATCCTGATCCCTAAGGAATCAAAAAAACCATGGATAAGGGGAAGGACTTTTTCTTCATATTTAGTAGATCTATTTCCAGATAGAAACAGAGAGGCTAACCAGGAATCCCACTCTGTAACATTTTCCAGATACTCTACATAGCCCCAAGAACCAAAATCCATCTCATTCCTCTTACTATTTGTTTCTATTATTAGATTTTTTTTATTATTAAATATCCTCAGGGTCAGAGAGAGTCATCACATCAAAACATAACTTTTTCCTCTAATTTTATAATTTCACAAACAGGCCAGATGCCAAACCCAGGTGAGAGCTTCTTGGTCAGGGGGTGGTAACAATTCCCTCCTTGCTTACCCAGTCCAGAGGTCTCTAAGAAAACCTGCACTTTCTCCCAAAGGCAATGTAGTAAAAATTCATAACTCTTCTACAGAAGAAAGTCAGAAGACCTCATCTCATTCAGAATCCATATGCCAGAGGGGCCTTGTCCAAGCAAGAAAGCAACACTTTCTCCTCTCTTCTCCTACCCATGGGGACAACACTGCTGTATGACACGCTTTCCCAGCTAATCCAGGTCCACAGTTCGTACAAGCCCAGAGTGTACAGTTGTTCAGAAGGTTAAAAAAAAGCATCGACATGAGGAATGTGTGCAAGGAAGACACACTCAGACTTGAGATGTACCTTATATAGGTTGGAGACATTACCTCATTGACATGATGCAACCTCTCACTCAACATAGACACCAATCCCTTTTCCATCTCAGAGTGGAGTTTTTGGCATGAACTGCAAGCCTCCTGGCTGATCATTTGACTAGTGGGGAGGTCTGCTCAGCAGTGGTGCTGCTGTGCTTGTTGGCCACTGTTTCCCAGAATTCTGTGGATTTCACCATTCCCACAGCAGTGTTTCTCAAAGTGGGGTCTGAGAACAAAGGCAATAGAATCACACATAGTACTTATTAAGATGTAGATCCCTGGGTAGACTCAGAAATCTATTTTTAACAAGTTCTCCAAGAGAGTCTTAGAGAACTACTCCTAGATGGGCAAAGTCTTCTCATTTCTGTTTTCCTGATGAGAACAACCTTGGTTCTCCAACTCCAAGAAGTTTACTGTGTTCTCTTGGATTTCTGGGTTCCAGGACTAACAAGCTGCTGCCAATGCAAGTGGATGGAGAGCCCTGGATGCAGCCACGATGCACGGTGAGTCTTGTCAATCTTTGTGATGGGGGTAAAAAGCTTTATTTTTTACCCCTTTTGAGCACTGACTTTGAGAATTGCAGGAACCTTGGAAGATTGTCCACCACCACCCTTCTTCTACCCTATCTATCCATCCATTCATTTGCCTGCCAAACTTTTATTGATTGCCTGCTCTGTGCGAGACACTATGAGGCACCAATTACAAAACTGAATGAGACATAGACCCACCTTCAAGGAGCTTACAGTTCCAGTTGACAGATTTTGAGACTTCATCTTCTGTGCCCTTGACAGCCTCAGTTTGAATCATTCCAGTGACAGGGAATTTACCACCTCAAAGAGAAGACTGTTCGACTGATGAACAAGTCTGATCATTAGAAAGTACTTCCTTACGTGGAAGCCAAATCTGCACACGTATCCTAGAACTCCCAGCCAAGGAGCTCTGATGTCTGGTGCTCCTGGAAGAGAATTCCCCACAGTGCACAGACACACTTCACCACAGGTGTACCCACAGCCCTGAAGGCATACCAAAAAATCCACTGAAAGGTCACAAAATTCCACTGCAAAGGGTCACCGCACAGGTAATCTGTTTTGTTTATGGCATTATCACCTAGAACCTAGCACAGTGCCTGGTTTGTAAAAGTTGCTACGTGCTGAGTGATAAATAAAAGACTGAACAAATGAATAGACATTAAAAATGGAATATCTCAATTCCCTTACTTACCATCTCCATGTGAGCCATGTGAGCGCTCCCTCTCCCACGACCTCAGGAGCAACACATTCTTCCTTTTTAGTTTGTTGTCAGTTAGAATCCCAGCTAGAAACTGTGGTAAAGAAACATCTTTGTCCTGGTTTTCAGGACCTCACTGGGATATTATATGAGTAATACTCTCAATAAGATTACAACTGTGCAAATTTCAAAAGACAAACTCTGTGTTTCTAAACTTCCTCACTCTAGTGGAGAATTTAGATACCTTGATAACCTGCTATTTTGAGCCCTTCAGAACATCAAGTTGTCTTCTACTAGAGTTTTCATGAACCTGCTGAGAAGAAATGGCCTCTTCTATAAAAGTTATCAAAAATATAGCTTTCTCTGAAAAATCTTACCTCAATTTTATGAAGACAAAAAAAAAAAAAAGATGAAAACACCATATCAAAAACTAGTAACAGCTTTCCACCTTGCTAGAATTAGGAAGGACGGAGGGAATTTCTGCTACTCATCATTTTGTTGGGACTGAGTTGAGAAAAAACTATTTAAGCTCCTCCAGTCACCTAAAAAAAAAATTGGAAGAAATCAAATATTCTCCTATCCGATTCAGAGATACCTGAAAACTGAGTTGCCATTTCTCTAAATTCAAGCACTAGTTTCTTATGTTGCCAGATACTTCCTCCATCCCCCACCCTCTCTCAGACCACCCTTTAGGGAATATAACTCACTAAAAAAATCTTTGTGACCCAATGATTTTACATGAAATCCAAAAATTCATATGTAAAGGTGTGTGTCAGGCAGCTTGGGCTGCCAAAACAGAATACCACAGACTGGTGGCTTAAAAAACAGAAATTTATTTTCTCACAGTTTTGGAGACTGGAAGCACAAGCCCAGCGTGCTGGCAGGGATAATTTCTGAGGAGGCTTCTCATCCCGACTTCCAGATGACCACCTTCTCGCTATAGCCTCACATGGTCTTTCCTCTGTGTGTGTGCACTCCTGTTGTCTCTTTCTCTTCTTAGAAGGACATCAGTCCTAATGGATTAGAACCCCAACCTTGTGACCTCACTTAATCTTAATTACCTCTTTAAAGCCCTATATACAATCACATTGGGGGTTACAGCTTCATTATAGGAATTTGGGGAGAATGCAAGTTAGTTCATAACAGAAGGTAACAGACTGCCATTCTTAAACTTGCAAGGGTTAAAACAAGTGTGACCTTTCCTTGAAGGTACACACTAAGAAGTGATTCAAAACTAAATAGTTAAGCGTGGGATATTGCAGCACAAAAGAACTTCTGGTAAAAATTTAAATCAGTTAAATTAGAATGAAGTTTTTAAAAAACTGTTAAATATGGTTGTGCAACTGAATGCAAATGGCAAAAATTACTCTTTGAATGAGAGGATATATAATGTAAAATTAATAACCTGGATTCCAAACCTAAGGTTATATTAACTAAGGTTGAAAACATATAAGAGATATTGCTAATGGAATAGTAAAAATATGTTAGATTTCTCATTGTCTCTCTTAAACTTGATAATTAAAAAATATAAATTGGAAGAAAATTTTAATAGCTAGATAATCCCATACCTTTCAGGTACAGGAGAATTTAAAATATATGAACCTGGCCGGATTGGTGGCTCAGCCTGTAATCCAAGCACTTTGGAAGGCCGAGGTGAGTGGATTGTCTGAGCCTATAGGTTCAACATCAGCCTGAACAACTTGGCAAGACCTCTTCTCTACAATAAATCAAAAATTAGCTGGGCATGGTAGCACACGCCTGTAGTTCCGGCTAATTGGAAGGCTGAGGCAGAAGAATCGCTGGAGCCCAGCAGGTTGACACTGGAGTGGCCTTGAGTGTGCCACTGCACTCCAGCCTGGGCAACAGAGTGAGACTCCAACTCAAAAAACAAACAAACAAACAAAAATATGAATCCTACCAATGTAGCAGAGGACAAATAATAAGCCAATATTAAAAATTTTTTGGCCAGGCAGAGTGGCTCACACCTGTAATTCTAGCACTTTGGGAGGCAGAGACAAGAGGATTGCCTGAGTCCAGGGGTTCAAGACCAGCCTGGGCAACTTGGTGAGACCTTGTCTCTAAAAATAACAAATAAAAATAAAAAAACTTTTGAAGCAAAATCACAGAGGTTAAGACTAAATATATTGCTACTAACAAAATACAGACAAGTTAGAGTTCCCTATTAAAAGACTAATATTTCCTCGGCGCTGCCTACCAAGGTGGCAGTCATCTCCTATCCAGCATCATGGCTGCCCTCAGGTCCCTGGTGAAACCCAAGATCGTCAAAAAGAGGACCAAGAAGTTCATCTGGCATCAGTCAGACCAATATGTCAAGATTAAGCGTAACTGGCGGAAGCCCAGAGATATTGACAACAGGATGCGTAGAAGATTCAAGGGTCAGATCTTAATGCCCAACATTGGTTACAGCGGCAACAAGAAAACAAAACACATGCTGCCTAGTGGTTTCCAGAAGTTCCTGGTCCACAATGTCAAGGAGCTGGAAGTGCTGCTGATATGCAACAAACCTTATTGTGCTGAGATTGCTCACAACGTTTCCTTCAAGAACCACAAAGCCATTGTAGAATGAGCAGCCCAGCTGGCCATCAGAGTCACCAATCCCAATGGCAGCCTGCGCAATGAAGAAAATGAATAGACAGCTCATGTGCACATTTTGTGTTTAAATAAAACCATAAAAATTGCCCCCCAAAAAGATTAATACTCTCATATTGGGTTAAAAATTTAAATAAAAATATATGCTTCTTACAAAAAAATATACACCAAATGTGCACAGGTGGGAGTGGTGGGTACACTTAAAGCCCAAACTTCTTCACCACTCTATAATGCAACCATGTAACCAAAAACTATATGTGCCCCCTCAAGCTATTGAAATAAAGAGAAACAAAAAAGATACACCTAAAATAAAAGGATATACACATGTACATATAATATATAATCTTCTTATTTTATCCTTCATCAAGTTTAGTGAAATTAAAAGTAACAAATGGTAATGTTAATTATACTAATTTTAGGCAAACTAACCTTCCCACATGCCAAAAGCATAAAGCACACTAAGAAAAGTCATTTTTTATTTGGTAAAAAGTACACTCAATTATGAGATTCAGTGATCATAAAATATAAAATATTTAATAATAATCAAAATATATGCTGTCAAAAACAATATTAGTATATATTCTGAGAAAAAATAGAGGTATAAGAAGTTGATAGACAGTTATTGAGAGGTTTTAAAAAATTTGTTTCTGGAGCAACCCCTTTGTGTTCCCGCCCACTGTGGGAGCGTCTCTGTCCTCTCAATAAATCCTGCTTTCTCAAAAAATAAATATATAAATAAAATATTTGTTTCTATCTTTGAGGTTAAGTAGCAAAAAAAAATGACATATAGCTTGGATAAATTAACTTTATAATATATAAACAAATTAAATATATTTTTCAAGCAGTCATAGAATATCTTCTAAAATAGATAATAAACTATTTTATGAAGAAAAACTCTATAAAATTCAGAAGCAGAAATTATAAAGGTCATTTTCTTTTACCACAAAGCAATAAAACAAGAAATGACTAATAGAAAATTAAATGAATAAACAAACAAAATCTAGTCACTTGACGATTTAAAAATTCCCCTAAAGAACAGTACATTAAAGAGGAGATCAAAACCACCATTATTGACTACTAAAAAAATTATAAAAATAAGCCTCCAGTTAAAAATTTATAGACTATAACCTAAAGTACATTTGGAAGTAAATTCATAGCCTCATAAACTTCCATTGTATATAAAAAAGAAATAAAATGTAATAAATAATCCTAAAATTAGAAGAGCGATAATGAAACAAACTCAGGAGGAGCAGAAGGAAAAAAACAATAATGATAAAAGTAGAAATTAAATAATTAAAAAACATGGCTGGGCACAGTGGCTTATGTCTGCAATCCCAACATTTTGGGAGCCCACAACAGGAGGATCACTTGAGCCCAGGAGTTCGAGACCAACCTGAGCAACATAGTGAGACCTCATCTCTATAAAAAATAAAAATAAAAAACTAATCAGGCGTGGTGACACCTGCCTTTAGTCCCAGTTACTTGGGAGGCTGAGGCAGGAGGATCACTTCAGCCCAGGAGGTCCTCCAGCGAGCCATGATCATATTATTGTACTCTGGTTTGGGTGACAGAGTGAGACCCTGTCTTCAAAAAAAATGTTTTAAAACAGGAAAATCTAGAACTAGTTCTTTAACATGTTTGAAAACCTAATTTTTAAAACAGATCA